CTTTAAGAAAAGAGCTAAATAAGAATGACGAGACCCTGTAGAAACATAAGGAACTACAGAAATATAGTGTGATCTACTGCAGTGTTAAATAAAGATCCTTTCTTTATATATCACTTAGAAAAATTGCAGATATACAAGCACTCTTCCTTAGCACAAACATGATCACTTCTTCTCTCCCCCAGATAGCAAAGCCATTTCCAAATAAATACCTTTCATTGCACATTTATTATTTGGATTACCATCAATCAGAAAGAAGCTTGAGGATATGAAACGCTTAAAGAAAATTAGAACCAAAAAAAAAAACCAGAACCAAAAAACAAGATCAGAATCTCAGAGTTAGTAGCATGAAGTCTTCAGATTGGTTAGTGCTGTATTATTGCTGCTGATTTGTGAGTTTAAAAAGCAAATGGCAAAAGGAACAAGGAAAGGGAAGACTATTCTGTTATCTTTCTTCTTAGAAATATAGTTATTTTTAGAGGGGGCTGATTTAACATAACTATATAACTCTGAGGCTGCTTTCTTAAGTGCCAAATTGTTTGGTTTCTGTGTCATAAAATTTAATGGTAAAAAGTAATATTATTTAAATTATACCAAGAATTGATCTACTGGGTTCAGAGAACTGAAATCATCTTCCTTAGTTTGTCCCATCTCAATATAAATTGCAATCGGACAATTATTTTGAGGTTTAGCAAGTTATATACCTCTCGATAGATATTAAGGCAGGCATTGCCATCCTTGGGGTAGCCAGGTTTCATTTTGCTTTTTGGAGGAAGGATGAAGGGTGGAGTACAGGGAAATGAGCCCAAGAAACCAATGGCACCAAATTGCTGGTATGAATCACCATATATATAAAATAAGTCCAAGCTTTGATCATCCAGCCACATTCACTATTTTGATATAGTTGATCCTCCTTGTAGGCAGTCCTACTGAAGCAGGCAGGACAAAGTGAAAGCTACTATGTCACACACTTGCAGTGCTGGAGACTTTAGATTGCCCATTTCAAATATTACCTTAAACTGTTTATCCCAAAGATGTTTTTCCAAAAGGCAATTGGACTTTCTTGTTTTTTCCCTTGAAAACATTTTGCTTCTCATCCAAGCTTATTCAGCACCTTTGGGACAACCATGACCTGGATGATTGAGAATCTCCAGACACTTAAACTGTTTATATACTGCATAATCTTGAACTAATATTCCTTAGCCTAAAGTAGGATTGTATTGAGAATCAAACATAAGGGAATATTGTAAACTTTGAATGGAGCAGCTAGAGAAAAAAAAAGAGATATTAATCTAACCATCATAAAGGGCACGATAGTTAAAGACACTGAAGTTGTCAGCCGGAAAGCTGATAACCTGGGTTTGAAACCTAAGCACTGCACAACTGGGTGAGTTCCCATTCCTTGCCCCAGTTCCTGTCCACCTACCAGTTCGAAAGCATGCAAGTAGATAAATAGGTACCAATTCAGTGGAAAGGTAACAGCATTCCATGCATCTTTGGTGTATAGCCATGCTGGTTACTTAATCACAGATATTGTCTTCCAACAATGCTGGCTCCCTTGGTTAAGAAATGGATATGAGCAATGTGCCCTAGAGTCAGACACAACTGGACAGGTAAGCCTTTACCTTTAATTTAACCACCAAGCAAAACGTTCTATTGGATGCAAAGGAATTGATCTTTTAGTTAATACTCTTAATTCAACCTTCCAAAAGTAAGTTATAGCTGGCACTGCAATCCTGTATAACAGATCCACAGAGCATCAACACTCATTCTGAGGAAACAGACAGGATCCTGTTACACGTTCTATTGAAATTAAATGTTTTCTTTCATGGGATGTGCAATTCAAATGTGTATTAACTCAGAAGAATATGTTTGTGAAGTTTATGCCCAAATTACATTGGGCCAGTTGAAGTATTTTGTGATGGGGGTTTGATTTAGCTGATCTAGAAAACTAAACAAGATTAGACCTACCTACTACTTGAATGGATGGCCATCTTGGAACTCCAGGACTAATGGCTAAATTGAGAGGAAGAAGCAACATTCTGGAAGAAGGCAATGGTAACCTACTTCTGTAACATGGCCAATAAGCTACACTGATACAGTCAACAAGAGTTAATCCCAACTCCAGAGAATCTTTACATTTTTTGCATAGAATGTACATTAAAATTAATTGCAAATGAATTAGAAGTCCATGTTTTGAGCAGTTCACTTCAAACATCAAGTTCTATACTTAAAGACGTTACTCTTTGAAGAAATTCTGTATTCTGCATATTGCCAATATGCATTCATCTGCTATCTTCTTGATGAACAAAATATCATTATCTCATTTATTCTTGCAGCAAATCTATGGAGTTTGCATTATTATTTTTCTAAGCAAGATGGACAGAAAGGCAATTGTCAAGATGTAACTGAAACACAAATTTTGCAGATGCAACTTTATTTGTGACCATTATCTTCTACGTATGAGGACATATACTCCAAGCTGTGAAAACATGCCTCAATAGACGTAAGGAATATTAGATACAAATTGTAGATTTTCAACTTTTAAGTTATGAAGATACTCTATTATGTCCTATATAGAACGCTAATCTTCTAATATTTAACAAGTTTCATAGGTACAAACAATGGCTTGATCACAGCCATTGCCATTACACTGGCTTATGCAATTCTAGAGAGCTATGACCATCTAATGCGAATTCCTCTGAGCAGCCAAACTTACTTTCAGAAAAGCCCGATATAAAGTTGTACAGCTTATTTTTCCTAGCAAGAGCAGAGATTTGTGAAGAACTTTGGGAGTCGGTTTCTTGCTCTCTTTGTGGCAGTGCTGCTCATGTGCATTCATGAAATATTCACTGAAAAGAAATCCTGGTTTGATTCCAGTGGCACCAGTACCAATGCCAATACTTGGTTTTACAAAATATTTAACACAAAAATTGACATTTTTTTCATTAAATCATGGTGTAGTGTTACCATCTTTAAGGAAGAACCTATATTGAAAAAGTATTTAGTTTTCATCAGTTTGCATATTGTCTTCATTTCAGAAGCTCTGAAATATTTGCCTTAAGAATAGAAAAAATCAAAATGTGGAAATCCTAGGCTTGGACCCAACATTTGTTATAAAATGTTTTGTCTTGTATTATGTAAAACAAATATATAAGCAACAAAGGCTTATAAGAAGAAATGAACATGTGAGGGGGGAACGCAATAAGGAACAAAAATGACTCTTGTTTTACAGTAGTCCTATATATGCTTACCTGGCAATCAGTGATACTGAAGAGAGGGAATATTACATCCAGGAAAACAGGCACATGTGAAAATCTGAGTACATTCAAAGTGCCCATGGATAATATGGCTTGGGTGCTTCTTCCAGAGTGGGGAGGGCTGGATTATATCACTTGGTGGTCTGGGAATAGCCATTATTCAGTAAGCATCCTGTAATAGAAGACTAAAACAATTAAGGCTTCTAAACAGAAGCCAACTGCAAAGCAGTACCAAAAACTGCATATATATGATTTATCTAGGGTTCCCAGACTGAGATCATATTAAAAACAATATAGATAAGACAATCAGGCAGATGGTAGATATTTCAGCCACGCAGGTATTTGCAGCACTGATCGCCTAATAGAGCCATCCAGCTATTAAAGAGACAACATCAATTTTTAACAACATTCTGCTCCCACTTCATATTCATAACCTTAACCTTTAACAAAGCACAATGTGGCTTTGTAAAGCCCATAAAGGGCAGTGAGTCGGTGCATTTTAAAGTAAAAATGGACCGGATAACGTGGGTCTTAGTTCTTCGCTTATTTCACTTTGCCGCCGATTGCAACACTTCGCTGGCCTTCCGATTTCCCCTGGTTGAGCCCCGCGTTTTCCAAAGGGCGGGAAAAGAAACGTCCGGACCCTCGCCTTGACATTTAAGCCCAGCACCAACCAATAAATCTTCGGTTAATTACGGACTATGGCGCAGGGCGCCACGTGCCCTGGCAGTGAAGAGAATCGCAGGCAGCCAACAAACACCTTCAGCCGCCTGACCTTACCGAAAAGCGCACCCGCTTCCTGCCTCCGCCCCACGAAAAGTTAAATGTTGGCACTCGCACTTCGCTTAAAAGAAAGGTGGCCCAGGGAGGAAAAAAAAACCCACTCCCCAGTTCCAAAGAGAAGCTCTCTCAGGGAGAAGGGCTCGTACTTGTGAAGAATTGAAAGCCCGCAACTAGATGAATGGGGAGAACCTCTCTGCAAAACAGGGAGTTGTCGGAAAGGAGGAAAAAGAGGCACAGCTAGCTCGAGAGTCGTCTTCCCCGGGGCGAGGGCTGACCCAGGCTGCCTTTCAAGGTATCACAATAACTAATAAATAAGAGAAGCCCTTCTGCAGTGCCACTTCCCGTTAAGCCTCAGTCTACGCCAATCTCATCCCTCAGTACAGCCTTCGGACATCTGACCCTTCCAGATGCTTTGGAATGACAAGAGTTCACCCTGCCGCGAATTCTGGGATTTGTAATCCTAACGCATCTGGAGGAAGTCAAGTTGAGGAAGGCTGGCCTAGGATATGCTGCGAGGCTCCAGGGCTTCCACGAACGCAACGAACATGCCACTATGCTATTGCCCAGGTGCTTCTCAAAGAACGAACCACTGGGGCTCGGATTTCGCGAAGGAACGTTGCTTCTCTCCGAACAGCCCCGCCTGCATCCACAGGGCCTTAAAATGGGCGTTGTAGTAGTATTCGTGAATTCAAGGCACCAAGCTGCACTGGCCCCCTAGGAAAAGAGCTCTCCCAGAGAATTGGGCGGGAGCGGGTGCTCGACGCTTTGTATGATAATCTTGCTCCTCTCCTCAAGGAGCGCATTTTCCCTCGCCCTCCAGAAACTACGCGGAGATAGCCTCCCCCCCCCCGGCCTTGTGAGCTGGGCAGCTTCTCCGTGCCCTACAAGTTCACCGAAACCGCCTCTCCCTCAGCACTCCATAAATGCCCCCTTCCTGGTGGCCAGGTTAGCCCACTACCCCGTTCTCGTCAGCCCGCCCCACCGCCCCCTTTGGGGCAGAAGCTGGCCCATTTGCCTCCCGCTGCCCAAAGTGCTGCCCCGCGAAGCGCTCGAGCAGCTGCTAGTCGCTGCCTTCTCTGCCGCACGCGCGAAGTTTGGCGCTCAGGTCTCTTCCCCGGTCCTCCCCCGCTTTCTCCCGCCCTCGCGCTCGTCGCTGTTGCCGGGTTCTGCTGCCGCGGCTGCCAACGACAGGACAAAGGCACATTAACACGTGATGGCGAAGGCGCTTCATAAATGGGACCAGGAGGCAAAGAAGGGGTGTGTGCGCGGAGACAGACCGTTCAGAAGAAGGGGGACGTCGGGCAAGCCGCAATAGCCGGAGCAACTCGCGGGAGGTGGAGACGGCTCGGTCGCAAGGGAGGAGGGCGGTGGGCGCAGCTTCTGTTCCTCCCAGAGCGGCAGGAAGAGAAGCACGGGAGAAGCACATGGCGAGGGGCGCGGACCGCAGAGGCTGCCGCACGTCCTGACTGGCTGAGGGGAAAAGCGAGCGATTGTCCACCTGCCTGCTCTCGCCTTCCCTCCTTGCTGGGCTGCACCGCCGCCTTCTCACGCGCACACGCCCCTGCCTCACCCGCCTTCCCGCCCTCTTCCTTCTCCCCTCAGTACCGCCGGGCGAGAAGGTCATCGCCGGCCACCGCATCAGCGACCTCTCTTGGGCTGGGCGTGAGGTGCCGTCAAAGAGAGCGCGAGGCGCCGGCAGCCGTTCAAGCGAAGACCAGCGCCCCTGCTTTTCTCTCTCCAGCCGCGGTTTGGGGAGGAGGCGGTGTCATGTGAATGTGGAGAAAAGGTAAGGAAAGGGGTGTTTGGGGCAGCGTGTTCTTGGGGCGCTTTGCGTGGGTTTCCTTCTTTGCCTCGGCTGGAGGGAGCAGCCGGTCCACGATAGGACGCGCCAGCGCTGCGAGGAGCCTGCTCTTTGGCGCCTTGGTTCGAAGCCCCGTTAGGGCGCATCCACCCATTTAATTCCATTCCACCAAGTCAGTCGTGCTGAGTTCCTCTAAAGAGGACAAAACTCGCTGGATCATTCGAAAGGTAATGCGAGTGAATTGTTCTGCTCTCAGCAGCAGAGAGAAAACACTTGAGAGTTCAGCCGACACACGGTTGGAGTCAGTCAGCAGAAGACCGAGTCTCTGTTGATTTGATTGTATCTGTGCGCTGCCTATTTGAACTCCGATCCTATAAGCTTCCGAATCGGTAGAACTTGCTGGCAAGTAATGTCCTCGGGTTATCGGTGAATTAAGTAATGTATGTTTTTTTTTCCCAAGTCTGTAGATATATATTTTAAAGTGTTCCTTTAAGGTTGCTCAGACAGCTTATATGTGTCTAACTGTAGCAAGCTCATTGTGTGTACGCCTATCAATCCTTCTGGCTAACATTACCTATATTAAGCTGCTTCTAAGCAGTTTGAGGCTCATCTGTCATAGATATTTTGGAAAATCTGAATATGGTGTCAACAATTTGGAAACCTTTCAGTTATGCCATTAAGAATCCATAGGGAACCATCAGTGGGCATTAAACAATAGTTTGCCACTGACATTCAGAATAATGCATTGCTGCTTAAATCTTTAAATCTCCCAATACCTGATGAATCGTGAAAAGTTGTTTTTTTTTGCAGCAGTATAATCTGAATCCCCATGCCAATGACCTTTGTTAAGATATTTGGGATTTCTTGAATTAGCCAGAAACAGACAGAAGAGTATCTCAATGAACAGAAAAATAGTTATTGATTAATGGAAAAGCCTTTTCTTGATTCCATGTCTTGGCTCTCTCCCTATAGGCTTTAGTGTACTTCATATATTAAAGAAGAAAATAGCAAGGGACGTTTATTCAGATTAACTAGGTTTCAATATGCTTATTTATTATTAATATGTAAAATGATTATTGGAATTTATTTGCCGCAATAGGCTAAATCTCCAAATCAAATTTTTTTGAAATGCAATCAATTTTTTCATGGATATATGTATTAATAACAGTTGTTCACCTTTTTGGTTAACTGTATGCTGTTTCTTTCTTCCCTTTATATTGAAATATAATTGGTGCTATTCAGATAAGATCAAGTCAGTGTGTCTATAAAAGAAGGCAAGACTGAGTAGATAACATTTTATTTCCTCTAAATTTAATTGTTTTGTTTAATGAGCATGATTTAACAGAGGAGAGAAAATACAAGATATGACAAGAGCCAATCTTGTAGACCGGTAGTTTTGTGGTTAACAATATGTGTTCATTTTTCTCCATGCAGAGCAGTCACCTTCTAGGTTCCCCTAGGACTTTGTCAGACATAGAAGGTTTCATCTTTAATCCTAAGCCTTTGGTGATTAATAATGGAAGATATTGTTATTGATTTTTCCTGTATTTCTTCCATTCTCCCTTTACTCCCAAACTCCCAACAATGAAGACTTTAAATAGGAGAAAAATATCACAATAGTTTTTGCTCTCTGATCATCCTGGATGAAGAAATGTTCGTGAGGGATTGAAAGACCAAAACAAACCCAATATTGGAAAAAATATTTCAGAATCTTTATTTCAAAACTAGCATTCAAAATACAGTAAAGTAAGGTTAAATTCTAATGTTAAGTATCAGGTATTTTGACAGAATCCTTTTTAGAATCTCTAAAACATACATGCTAGTAGTGTGCAACATAAATCTCCTGAAGACAAGATAGGCAGATTTCTTAAATGGAATAGTGGTTTCTGTCATTATTCTATATTTGAAATGATGTTAAGAGGTTGAATATTCTAGTTTTTAATATAAAGCTACAGTTCATTGTACTTTAAGGAAACATTACTACTTGACCCTATTGTCTAATTTAAAGTATTCCAAAACACATAAAGAGATTATTAAAAAATAATAAACTAAATTTGTTCATCTCTTAATGGAAATTGTTTCTACAAGTTAAATCAATGTACACAGTGCACACAAATTTATTTATTTCTAGCAGCTTACTTATTGTAGTGTGTGTTTTCCTCACTCTTCTTATATCTTCTTATGATGTCATTGTTCTTTGCTTTACAAAACATGTATGTTTGCTCCTTGTATTACTGCAGTTGTTTGACCTAGGAACATGATCAAAGTAGCATGTTTACATCTAATGACATCAAAATAAGAAAATGGTTAGCACTGGAACAATTAGCTGCAAATATTATTTTTCACAGATTACACATAGTTGGAATGATATAGGTTTGCCTTTTTGCAAGAAGAGAAAAATCTCATTAGTGTGATGACAGCTCATTCTGCAGTGGGTGTAAATTAACTATAGGAGAAAAGCCATGAGCATCTAATTAGTTTAAAGCCAAATTTACACATGTTAAATCACATTAACTTGAGAGGAGCGATGTAGGAAATGCAGAGGATGATCTTAACTATACTGGAAAGAGAATACACTTATTTTATATTCATAAACAATAATTTCATTTAATGCTAATGAGCATTTGAAAACTAAAAACATCCAAGTATAGAAGAGTATTTTTTATCAATGTTCATATAAAGTCTCTGGTAACATCTTAAATATATTGGAGAATAATTAATTAATAAATTTTACCAAAGCTGGACAAGATCCAATATTTGAGAAATTTAAGCACAATCTTAAATTTAGTCATGAGATCAAATTTGAATGGGACCTTATGTCAAGATTGCATTGTACCTTGCCTTTAAACTTCTTACAATTGTTCTTTTGATCATAAAGTTACTTCAGTTGCATGGCAGTGTTTCTCAACCTTGACAATTTTAAGGCATGTGGACTTCAACTCCCAGAATTCCACAGCCAGCATTGCTGTGTGGAATTCTGGGAGTTGAAGTCCACATGCCTTTAAATTGTCAAGGTTGAGAAACACTGAGTATCCTAAGTAAAATCTTCCTTGTGTTATTGAACTTGGAAAAAATAGCCAACTGAATTTGAAAAAGATATTTAAACCTTCCTTAATTTCATATTATGATATAATATTGTTTAAGAAAATCTAGTTAATGTTGTCAGTTCCTTGAAAGTTTGGGTTCTAGTTCACTTAGTATTTAAAGAAAGATTTTTAAAATATTAAAATGTGAGTAAAAATCTGAATCATATTAATACTTTATTTTTCCAGAGGAGTTTCATTCTGAGTATATAAGTCTATTGCATCTACTTTCCTACATTTCACTAATTTCTTATGTGAAAAGTTAAAAAGAACCCTAAAAAACACGTGTCTATTTCAAAAAAACTTATTTCATGAATTTTTCTAGCAAATCATTCATACTTCCAGCAAATGAGGAATGCATTTTTGTCCCCATTAGGTATGTAAGCTGTTTTTCTCCTCTTTGATTATGCCTGTGTTATGTAGTTTTATTAGTGGCTTTATGAAATCTTTCTAAATCAAAAAAGAAAATAGAGAAAACATATGGATCTGTCTCCTAGCCATGAATCAGAAACTTGAATAGCAACTAGCAACATCGACATTGTCCAGCTATTTGCTAATTTTAAAAAGGTTTATGGCCAGTAATCCCAGTGTATGATTATAAGTGTTACTGTAGAGATGAAAACAAAAGCTAGAAAGAAATAGATCCTTTCTCTATTCTTTTTCTTCTATTTGTAATAGTGTGGATGCCAAGTCTATTAAAAGTAATTTTTCAAACATGCCAAGACAACTTTAATTGGTATTATGTTTTAATGTGAATTAAATTTTGCTTTATTTCTATACTGTTGACTAATACAGGCGTATTTATTGCCTAATACTTCGAATATGCAGATGTTTATTTGGAATTATTGTGTTTTTAGTTATGTTAAAGAGATCTTACAGGATTAACATTTGCAAACTCTTATTATTACTTACAATAGCAACCTTCTAATTTAAGGAAACATTCTGGTCATTATTTCATCCCAAAGTTTAAGATCTTTGTACCTGAAGAGACTTTTCCTCACTGGGACAAAAAATACAGCTAAAACAACCTGTGCTTGTTTTGTTTTTAAGACACAGTACAGCTAGAATTTTAAGACAGAATACATTTTGTACGTACACACATTCATGCTGTTAGACATTCAAGTGTTCTTACTATGTCCATTCCAGAATACAAGCAGGACCAAATCTATAGTTTTTCAATACATTGTTATAACGGCAGAATAGCTAGGGTACAAGAAAGAATAACCTATCCCTCCTAAAGTAGCTGCTTATGGAATTACTACTTTGTTATTATAACTAGCCAAATAATAATACCAGGATAAAAAAACTGTGCTTGCTTAAATTTCTTCTTCTGTTGAAATCTCTGGCCTGCTAGTATATCACTAATAAACAAATTAGACTTGCATTTAAAAATTAATTCTATATTGTCACGATTGAATAGTAAAAGGACATTATTAAAGATACCATATTTGTCTCTCAAGCTTTTCATGATCTAGAAATCACTTGATGTCTTTAGCAGTCATGGTTACTGAGTTAATCATATTCATTATAAAGGGTAGAGTAGAATATACTGATCAAGAAACACACTAAAAATCTATTTTAGTCAGATGGAGTAAATTTTCACACCTGCATTTTAGGAAAGCTGATAAAATTTTTCTTCCCTTGGTGACTCTGTGAAATTACTAAGGAATTGTTATTTTTAGCCACATCAGCCTTTTTTAACATAGAATGTCAATGGGATGACTACTATATCTGTCATCTAAGAAAATTATATCAAGTGTATTTCCAGAATGCTGAGAGAAAAATCTAAAGATGATTTGTTTATTAATATATTTTATTAATTAATTACTACTTCGTTCTTCTTCTGAAAGGAGCTTAGAATAGTTTCAAGATCTTAAAAACATCTCAATAAATCAACATAGT